TGCTCTGAGGCTGCTTGACTCCGAATGGGAGTTAAAGGCTCAGAGAGCCAGACTCTGCGAGGACGAGCACAGAAGCAGCTTTTGGGGGCTCTCACTCTCTGGCCACGATGGCAGAGGCTGAGGCCTGGGAGGGCTGTTCGCAGGGTTGGTGTCTCAGTCGGGTGTGGGGGGGCCTCAGGGAAAGGAACAAAGGCTCAGAAAAAGGATAGCACCCCCAGAGGTGAGGCCCAATGGGGTAAAATAAGACGGAAGAGGGCAGGACAGGGGCCTCCCAGGTCTGAGTGTGCAACGCGGGCTGAGCCGACCGGCTTCTCAGGATGTGGGGACGACCCCATTTCAGTGCACCCTCAGCTGAGGGAAGGAGCCACCACCCACCTGGGCAACCCTGACCGGCACCTGATGTCCAAAACGGGAGTGCCTGCCTCCCGAGCCTGCTTCCAAGGGTCGTTCTGACCCTCCCCTGCCTCCGCCAGATCCTGTTCCAGCTCCAGCTCCAGCTCCAGCAGACAGCGGAGCTGCAGGCCCAGTACGAGCCGCTGGCGGCCGACCTGCTGTGCTGGGTGCAGAGAAGCAGGCGCAGCTGGAGACACGGGATTTCCCAGACTCCCTGCCTGCCATGCGCCAGCTACTGGTGGCCTTTGCCTCCTTCCGCACCCAGGAGAAGCCACCTCGGCTGCAGCAGCGAGGGGCCCTGCTCTTCCAGCTGCAGGCAGCACTCTGAGCCCAGAACCGCAGCCCTTCCTGCCTCGCGAGGGCCTGCACCCTGTGGAGCTGTCCTGGCCTGGAGCAGGCAGCAGCCTCCCGCAGCCAGGCCCTGCAGCAGAGACTCCTGCAGCTGGAGCGCCTAGAAACCCTGGCCCAGCGCTTCCAGCACCAGGCAGCCCTCCTCCGGGAAAGCTTCCTGACAGACACAGAGCGGGCTGGACCAGGCTGCAGCCCCGCTCGCCAGCCCGGCCACAGTGGAGGCGGCTGCCCGGAGGCTGGGCATGCTCGAGGCCCAGGAAGGGCACTTCCAGGCATTGGCCGAGCCCACAGACCTCCTCCCACAGGAGCAGTACCACCGCTGGGCAGATGTGGCCTGCAGGTGAGCCCCAGGCACATAAGCCGTCCTCAGAACAGGCTAGGCCTTCCTACTAAGCCTGTGTCATTACACATACCCATTCCCAGCTGCAGGGGAGTGACTATGGATTCGGGGTTCCCTTTAAAGAGACTTAGCTCCCTCTGATGCCTGAAACTCACCACTTATAATCCACCCCTGTTGGGAAAGCACTGCCCTGTCTAGGTAGCTTCGTGCTAATTCATTCACTAAACAAGCACTTACTGAGTGTCTGCTGCTTCAAGCACTGTGCTAGGTGCTGGGGGTTTAGCAGTGAAAAGGGCACACAGAATGTCCCTCCCCTCAGGGAGCTAACACCCCGCTAAGGCAAACAAGCAAATAAGAAACATGTATAGTGTGTGAGATGGTGATAAAAATATTAATAAAGCAGGAGAGGAAAGATGAGGTGCACAGGGTGGGGGAGTTAGATTGGGGGGCCAGAGGAGGTTCACTTTTGAGCAAAGACCAGACAGAAGTGAGGGGCAGCCACGCGAGGGGACAGGCCCCTCGGCGGAGGAAAGGGTGCCGTGTCCCCAGGTGGGCGCATGCCTGGTATGTTTGCAAAACAGCATGGGGGCCCGTGTTGGCCAAAGTGAACAAGTAGGAGCTGAGGTCAGGGAGACACAGGGGTGAGGGGGGCGGGGGGGGGGGGGGGGCAGGGATGGGGCTG